ATATATATATATATACTGTATATATTTGAGTGGATATGTGTGACGCAGCGAGGATGTAATGTAGAGGAGTTGTCAATTTCAAGAGGTGTGAAGAGTTTACTTATTAGGCTGCTTGAGTGAAGTAGGATCCGTAGAAACGCTTCAGAGGTTGATGGGTTTTAATGAGCCCTGTTGCAGTCTCAGCACTAATTAACATGATGTATGTTTCCTGAAGCTGAAATCTGCACTGCAGTCGGATCCTAAATAAAATAGCATTCTGGTGAATCTCATGGAACCTGTCAATAACATATTCAGGTCATATTTCACACTAAAATTAAAAGAAAATATGAAAATCATATTTTGCATCAAGAAAGCCTATTTCTAAAAACATTTTGCACTGTAACAATTTTCTTCACAATTAAGCACAATTCTCCAAATTGCCATTATTTTAATTTAGGAAACAATCTTATTCTCATAATCATAATGCAAGAAAAAGAAATCTCATTCTCATTACTGTAATGCAGAAAAAAAATCTAATTCTCATTACCATAATATCAGGGGGAAAAAAATCTTCATTACCATAATGCAGGAAAGAATACTACTAACACTACTATAATGCAAGAAATAAAATCTCATTCCGATTATTTTCCACAATGCAAAAAAAAAAAAACCTATTCACATTATTGCAAGAAAAAAATCTCATTCTCATTACTGTAATGCAGAAAAAAAAAATCTAATTCTCATTACCATAATATCAGGGAAAAAATCTTCTTTACCATAATGCAAGAAAAAATGTCTTGCTCTCATTGCCACAATACAAAAAAAAACAAAAAAAAAAACAGCAAAAATCTATACACATTAATGCAAGAAAAAAATCTCATTCTCATTACCATAACAAAAAAAAATCTAACTCCCATTACTGCAATGCAATGCAAAAAAAAAAAAAGTATTTACATTAATGTAAGAAAAAAAATCTCACTCATTACCATAGCAAAAAATAAAAATAAAAAATCTTACTCTCATTACCACAATACAAAAAAAGAAAAATGTAAATGAAAAAAATAATTACTTTCTTACTACCACAATGCAAGGAAAACAATTCGCACTGTCATTACCATTATGTTGGTTGTTCTACTTTAAATATTGACACTATTTTAAATATTCTCATTATCACCTGATTGATAAATTGATCAATATGATTGATTTTTATTACTGTGATATAGTAATTTGTTGCTACATTAAATGCTGTTTAAAAAATCACCCTAAATTTAAACCACCCTACCTTGAATTTGTATAAATGCTTTACAATTAAAATTTAATTTCACATTACAGTACTGGCAATTTGGGGGGAAATGTGCTTAATTGTCATGATTTAGTTCAAAATATAGGCTTAATCTTCTTTAACCAAAATATCATTTGTAATTTCTTTCTGTATTTGTTGGTGAAATATGACCAGGATAGGCTATAAAACACTGTCAAACTCTGTCCAGTCTAAAGTGACATCTCCACTCCCTGTGTGTTTAGCATTCTTTCATAGTCTGCCAGTGTGCTTAAAGAAAAGTGTATTTTAACTATATAACTCATTTGGTCTTCCTGTTGAGCATGTGTCCGCATTCATATGTGTGAGAAAGAGTGTGGGAGTTTGCTGTGAATCATTTTAAATATCTTGCCATTTCTTGACAAATGCCTTTAAGCACCATTTTGCCATTTTATTTTTGTGATACATGTTGATGTACCTTTCACTGTTCAGATCATCATTAAAATTAAATAAAAAGCTCTCATTTCCCCTTATTGAAAGCAGCAATAGAACAGATTTTGCAATATTGTGCAGATCTCACATTATTCCTGTTACAATCAAAGGATAAATGCGCGTATCTGTGCTGAAATGAAAAAGTAACAAGTAATGTCTTTCTACAAAGTCACCAATTTTACCAGCTTGTTCTGATTTTCTTTCAGCTGAGTGCCTACAGGCAATCAAACCAAATGCAGAAAGGAAATGCATTTTGTGTAGTAAAAACTAAAAAGTATTTTTTAAGCTGCATGTTCTGTTTGAGGTGTGAGAGACTCAAAAACTCTTTTACTTCTTATATATGAATAATGTTTTTTAAAAATTCAGGAAAATAGGTTAATTTTGAATGTATTTTTAAACCTACAGCACTGGCATCTCTGGGACCCCAAACATAAAGACACTAAAGTTTGCATTAACATTTAAATGCATGGATGTTTTGTCAGTCATTATTACATATTCAGGTCTTTAGCAGCCCAGAATCTATATCTAACAGATACTGTAGATCTCTGAAGTGCCCCAATATTATAAAACAGAGATTTTAATGACAATTATAAAGTAAAAAATAAAGCATATTTTGTTTTGTTATCCGACAGCTTCGTTTTTTGATTACAAACTTAACTGAGTAGTTCGCTGATCCATGAAAAAATTTGCTGATGATACTTGTATGTTCTTGTTTTATGCATGCAGTAATATTTTTTTGAGTGACATCATGCCATCATTGTTTATGAGGCATTGCCTCCTCCCTATATATATATTCACTATTATATATGTACTATGCATATTAAACTACTTTTTACCAAAAAATTAACTAGAAAACAAACATTTATGAAAGCCCTAATCCGCCACTGATTAACAAATAAAAAAGGTAATTGCGACTATCTCACAATTCTGACTTTTTTTCTCAAAATTTCAAGATATAAACTCACAGTTGTGAGTTACAAATTAAAAATTGTGATATAAAGATGCAATTGCGAGTTTAAAAGTCAGAATTGCATGATAAAAACTCACAATTGCAAGTTATGAAGTCAGAATTGTGGTGATATAAACTCGTAAGAGTTATAATTTCAGAATTGCATGATATAAAGTTGCAAATGTGTTGTTGTCACGGTGTTGCCTACTGTGAGGAGTGAGGAGAATGCAGGAGAGTTACTATAACAGACTATTAATCCAAAGGGAACAAGGAACACACACATGTAGGAACGGGGATCGATGTTTAAAACAGCACGCAGGACTCAGGAAACACAGGGCTTAAATACACATGGAAACTAATGAGGGAACACCTGAAAATAATGAACATGATGACATGAAGGAAAACACTGCTGGAAACAATCGGCAGGAACAGGAAGACCAAATAAATGCATAAACATAACATGTGGGGGAGGAAAACACAGGACTGACATTACTCTCCCCCTCCCCCCCGGAAGGCACGTCCACGCGCCCCACAACATCCAACGGAGAGGGGGGAATGGGCACTCTCGAAGCCCCTCAGGACAGACACGGGATGGCAGGGGCGGATCAGACAGTTCAGGAGGCCATGGCGGAGTAAGGAACTCAGGAGGCCATGGCGGATCAGACAGTTCAGGAGGCCATGGCGGAGTAAGGAACTCAGGAGGCCATGGCGGATCAGACAATTCAGGAGGCCATGGAGGAGTAGGGAACTAAGGAGGCCATGGCGAAGCAGACAGTTCAGGAGGCCCTGGCAGAGCAGACAGTTCAGGGGGCTATGGCGGAGCAGACAGTTCAAGAGGCCATGGTGGAACAGGGAGCTCGGGGAGCCTGGCCTTGGCACTCGGCCCAGCCTCCACGGACGGACCCCTACTAATCCCCCCCAAAAAAAAATTATTGGGGAGAATGTCGGTTTCAGAGGCCCTCGGTAGGCCTAACTCGGGAGCTGTGGCCCTCCCTGGGCTTGACTTGGGGACTGGAGCCCTTTCTGTGCTAGACTCGGGGACTTGGGACCCTCTCTGGGCTAAACTCGGGGACTGGAGCCCTCTTTGGGCTAAACTCGGGGGCTAGAGCCGACACTGGAGCGAGCTCTGGGGATAGGATGAGGGCGGAGAACAGTCTTTTTCTCCTCATCCTCCTCCTTTGGTTAGAGGTGAACGGTGTGGCCGGTGGGCTTGAGAATGCCGTGGCCGGCGGGCTGGAGAGTGCTGCGGCCGGCGGGCTTTCCGGAGGATCCCTTATCTCCAGCTTAGTCCCGTGGTGTCTGGGAGGTCCACGGGGCGATGGTAGTTGGCCGCGGCGAGACCGCAGAACTCCCTGGCATACTCGACGAAGGGGAGATCTCTATGGGCTAGGGCAATGAAGCATGCGGCTGTTTCCATGCCACGGGGAGAAACAAACGGGAAAACAAAAGACTTTTAAAAAAAAAAGGAAAACAAACAAGGGGAGAGGAGGCGCCGCTTACTTTCTGTTTACGGTGCTGTCTTCTGTCATGATGTGCCTACGGTGAGGAGCGAGGAGAGTTACTATAACAGTCTTTATTAATCCAAAGGGAACAAAGAACACACATGTAGGAACGGGGATCGACGTTTAAGACGGCACGCAGGACTCAGGAAACACAGGGCTTAAATACACATGGAACCTAATGAGGGGACACCTGGAAACAATGAACATGATGACATGAGGGAAAACACAGCTGGAAACAAATGAACACAATCAGGGCAGGAACAGGAAGACCAAATAAGGGCATAAACATAACATGGAGCAAGTGGGGGAGGAAAACACAAGACACAGGACTGACAGTTGTAAAGTCAGAATTGTGATATAAAGTTGCAATTGCGAGTTATAATGTCAGAATTGCATGATATAAAGTCACAAATGTGTTGTAAAGTCAGAATTGTGAGATAAACTCACAATTCTATGAACATTTTCGATAAAAAGACGCAATTACCTTTTTTACTTTTTGTTCAGTGACAGAAATGGGCTTTCATAGACAATCTTTTACATTTTCCCCCCTTGTAATATTGTTGATAATGAATAGATTGAGGAATACAAGAAGGTGGAGTCTAATTTCAAAAAAATTAATGAGGTGGATGTCCTGGG